TAAGGATACTAGAGGTACAGGCTAGAGATTGCTTCGTAGCATACGCCGACGATCTAATTATATTGGTAAACGGAAACTCCCGAAGGGAGATAGAGGTTGAAAACCAGGTACTGGTAGACCAGATTGTTGAATGGTGTAAATCGGCCAAACTTCAAATTTCCGAGCAAAAGACTGAGGCAATCTTGCTCAGAAGCGAGGAAGTAGGAAGGGCCCAAGTTAACATACAGGGAGGAGTGCGCCAGGATAGGAGGCCAAAGAATCGGAAAAGAAAAATAAACTTTAAAAGTAGATCACACATTGTTAGGTTAGGTGAGTCGAAAATCAAGTTCAAAGACTCAGTTAGGTACCTTGGTATTTACTTGGATAGAGGTATGAGAGTCGAGTCACATTGTAAGTACTTGAAAAATAGAGTAGGATCACTATTCGATAAACTTGACAAATTGGCAAAATCCCAATGGGGTCTCAAATGCAGAACACTCAACGATTTACCGGGGAGTCTTCGTCCCAGTAGTTGCATATGCGGCTGCGGGGTGGGCGGACCTGTGTACTGAGAAAGATAAGAAAGTTCTTAGGGCTGTGCAGCGTACAGTGCTCATAGCACAAACAAGCGCATACCTCACGGCGTCGTGGGAGGCATTTTGTGTGGTGTCAGGACAGACTCCCGTCGACTTACTCTTAAACGAATATAGGGCCCGATATGAGGTAAGAAAGGGCAAAGACGCAGAAATAAACGGAACCTTAATCCAAGGAAATACGGAAGACGTTAAGAAGGTAATAAGGCAAGAAGTAATAAAGACATGGCAAACTAGGTGGAACACCTCGACAAAGGGTCGAGTAACGTTCACTTTAGTAGGATACAAGAAAGACTTCAGTCCGAATGGATCCAGTCTGACTACTGGTCCACGCAGATTTTAACTGGACATGGCAACTTCCATGCGAAATTTTCGCAGATAGGGCTTATCAAAAATAGCTCATGGGAGTGTGGAGCTGAAGAGGACACAGTTTGGCACTTCATACTAGAGTGTCCAGAATTCGAGGCTCAAAGAGTTGCTCTAAGGGAGATGGTTCCCTATAACGAGTGGAAATTGCTCACGGCGATACAATTCTTAGTATCAAACGCCGAAGCATTTCAAACACTTGTCGCATTTTCTAAAGAATCATCATGGCTAAAGCTACCTCAAAGAGAGGACTAGATTCCGAAACTGCTCACCAGAGAAGGCTTGTACTCTGGAAATAGAAAACCTAGTCAGGGAAGACCTGAACTTCATCACAGGAGTACCCCTGATGAGGAAACCGTATTCGTCACGGAAAGCACACAACACCGAGCAGTTTAGGGAAATAAACTAACGAAATGACACATTTCATTATAGGGTCAGGGCGGTGCGTCTCGAGACGAGGCGCAAATGAGGGCCTCCCCGTGGCTCCCCGTGTGTGCGAGGCGCCTCGAGAACATAGGACTCGATGCGTGTCGTGGCAGAACTGCTCATTCCTGCAGAACCGCCATGCAGGCGCTGCTGGATTTTTCCATCGCCCTTTGTCGTGGCGGTTTGGCCGGGTGGTAATGTTGGTCTGTGGCAAATACCTTTGTGGGTGAAGTGGCACGTTCGCCCCGTCCTCGGGACGGGGCCGACTAACAATAATAACTGTCCCTATCTACTCAACCCCGATCGGAGGGGTGTCATAGCGTGCTTGTCATAGATTTCAAATATGAGCAAAAATTCTGACAAATCAAAAATTAAATTGACGGATAAAACTAAGACGACTAAGGCTAAAACCGGGGTTAACGAGTTTATTGATCTGGATATAGACCCCTTCGAGAGAAGGGATTTAGTTGGAAGATCTCCGCCATCACATGTCCACACTTCAACAGTGGACAAGCAAGTGCCAGAGGCAGCGGCAGTGACAGAAGAGATGGTAAAACCTGCTCAGGGTGGGGGAGTGAGATTGGTCAGTCACAACCGAACACTCTCATGCACTTCATCCGAGTACGTTCTGGTTGAGGAACGTAGTAAGACCAATCGCCCGGTAAGAAAGAGCGTAATGGAGGTAATAAGTGAGGAAAGAACCGATCTTGAGAAGTTCCTCTTCAATGAAAGCAATAAGGTTAGTAGAGCAGCAATTAAGTTTATTCTGTCCAAATGGACTAATCTCGAGGATAGGTTGAGGCAAGAATTAATCGAGAAAGAAAAGCTGCAAGCTTTATATAGAAAAATAGCTATATTAGCGGAGAGAAGTGGTAGAACTGAAGCAGTTAAGGAGACAAGAATAAGCAGGTATTATTCTCTGAAGTTGTCAGGTCTGAGAAAAAGAAGCAACAGAATGCTCCATCAAGAGCTATAGCGGGCAGATCGACTGGGGCTACTGTGG